CTTTCACGAAAGCTGCTAAAGGAACTAAGAAAATAACAACATTTTTAATTAAAAATTCAATTTCTGATGACTTTGATAAGATTTTAGATGAATTAGAAAATGATAAACAAGATGATCAATATAATTTAAATGAAAGAATTGAAATTTTAAAAAAAGAACTTAAAGAATAGCAAACAGTGTTAACAGTTACTGAATATAATAAAAAGAGAGCAATTTATGAATATTTGAATAGATTAGATAATAATGAAAAAGGAAAGCAAAAAGCTAGTATAGAAGCTGCGCAACTGATTTTTATCGAAAGTGCACCATATAAAGCAAGATCTATCTGATATTGGGCCAATTATTGGCTTCAACATAACTATCTACCAATAAGTCATCAAGGTAAATATCAAAAAACTATACGATTAATAGATAATGAAGATATAGCGGAAAAATGCTATATATAGATTCGATCTCAGAGGGGAATGACCACTCCATTAAAATTCAAAGAATTTATTAAAGAGAAGCTTCTTGTAAATTCAGGAATATTGAAAAAAAACATCATTAGTATTGCAACTGCAGCACGTTGGCTTAATGTGCTTGGATATTTTTTTCAATCACAAAAGCAAGGTAAGAATAAATTTATTATTAAAAAATAAAAAATTAAACTAATTTTACATCATGATAAATAGATATATACTATGATAGACACGAGCATCCTGATGTTATAAGATATTGATAATCATTTCTGGACACGATATTTAGTTACGAAAAGTATATGACTAAGTATAAAGAGGAGAATATGGAATGGATACCACTAATTTTGGGACCAAACAAAAAGGAAATAGTTCTTGTAATGCATAATGAGAGTGTATTCTACTCAAATGATGGTAAATGAGGAATATGGGTGAAATCCAGAGAGTTACCATTACGCAAGAAGGGAAATGGACATTCCATCATGATTAGTGAATTTTTGATGGAAGAATATGGCCAACTTAAATTAAACTCATAGTAACATCAAGAAAGTCCATCCATACCTGAAGAAGCTCGAGTCCATCTTCAACTGGGAAAAGATCAAGACAGATACTGGACGAGTGAGAATTTAGTCGAACAAGTAAAAATAAAGGCTATACTGATCTTTGAAATCATATTTCCAAACTGTATTGCCTTGTTTGTGTTTGATAATAGTTCAAACCATGCGACATACAGATCTGATGCACTCGTGGCAAGTCAGATGAATCTAAAATCTGGAGGCAAGTAACCAAAAATACGAGATACGGTTTTTGAACCAGACAACTGCTATCAATCAATGGTTAATAAAAAAAATGAGCCTAAAGAGATGAAACAGGTATTAATTGAACGTGGATTATGGAAAAATGGATTAAGTGCTGACTATAAGTTATGCAAGGATAAGGTTGATAATATAAATCGGATGGACTGTTGTGCATGGTGAATCATTTCATTATAGCCAGATTTTTTATCACAAAAAAGCGCGTTAAAAGAAGTTATACTGGAAGCTAAATATAAATGTATTTTTTACCTGAAGTTCCACTGTGAACTGAATTATATCGAGCGATATTGGAGTGTGGCGAAAAGGTATGCTCGAGAGAACTGTGACTATTCTTGGTCAGACTTGCAACATATCATTCCTGCAGCCTTGGAATCTGTTGATACGATTATAATAAGAAGATTCACTAGAAAAGTATAGCGCTACATGAATTTATATAGGAAGAGAATCACTGGTAAGTTGGCAGAATACACTGCCAGAAAGTATAAGTCTCACCATTGTATTCCTGAGTATATATTATCAGAATTGAATAAAATAAAATTATGAGACGGTATATGTATACTGTATATTTATCATAATAAAAAATATATAGATATGTGATTTATTATAAAAATCACGTGGTGATCTATATCCGAAATTTCAGACTATGTGGTTTATAGATGATAGCTACCATACCCTTTCTTTCACTCGGTTTTATTTCTTTGACCATACAAAGTTGATTTGGATTTTTGATTAATGTTATATTGATTTTTGATTTATTTGATATTGTTTTGAGA